TTATAAAAAGTGTAAATATATGAAAGATGAGCCTAAATTTATGTCCTGACAACAATAGAAACCCATGTAATCAGAAAGGTGAGCCAAACTTTCTCCGATGGACAGCAAATGAAATACCGCTAAAGTAAACAAGTGCAACTCGTAGTGCGTACAAACTCAATATCCGATACACATATTTTAAACAATATAAAAGGTGAATATCATGAGAACCAAAATAACAAAATTTTAACACATCAAAATAATCCCCCACCCAACAGCCCACTTATTAGCATGATGTCAAATTATTTCAAAATAATAAATAATATAAAACACATACCGTCAGTGTGAAATTATTATGTATGATTATAGACAAAGAAAGAAAGACAAGTATATGGTGACCTGATGCCAATACTCTTTGCTTTCAGATACAACTGTTTCAAATTTTGAATAGTAGAGTACATAAAAGTCTTGACAAATAACAATGATATAATATGGCAAAAATTAGGAAAATTACCAATCTCAGAATCCTGGGCAGATTATAGGCAGGTCAGAAGGTCTAGAATCTGATGTGGGTAATATATCTTGGTTATATATTGGCAAGAATATTGAAGATTGATTTCTTTTGGAATTATTAAACCTGCAAATGTATCTGGCCTGAGGATAGTAGATGTTTATCCTAAAGCCAAAGTACTAATGTTTATGTCGAAAGTGCATGATGGAATTTTAGCATTCTCTGTTTGGCTGTTTAAGAAACAGAATATTTTTACCTTCAAGTTTTGTGACTAGAGTTTAGGTTTATATTGATTGTTTATATGCTATATTATTAAGCTTCATTGTCTTGTATTGCTAATTTTCAGTTTCTTGTTTATCAAAGCTTAAAAGAAACTATTTGTATCTATTAGGTTATTAATATTTAGAATAATTTTTACTATTTTCCTTTTAGATAAAGGATGTCATCTGTATGGAACACAGCAGAAAACCTTTTACTAGCACCTAGTATGGGCCTCCCGGATAACAGGGTCAGTAGTCTCCCTGAGGCTTCAGAAACAGTGAGTATGGCTATGGTGTTTTTTTGTTTTTTCCAAATTGATTCTTCAGTATCATTCTATAATTCTCATCAAAAACTCAATTTAATTTTATATGTATTTTGGGCAGAAGTTGTACATGGAGTGAGCCTGGCCAGTAAATCATTTGTAAATTCTAGGAAAATAGGAGAAGTTTTGATGATGTCACAGTGGGCATTGGTTGATTGTGCGGTTGTGTATGGTGTGGAAGTGACCGGTATTTTCTCACATCTGCTTAACTTGTCAGATAAAAATAATTTTGTGGACAGAGATGTAGTAGATGTTGAAGTGCAACAGAGCATATTTAGAATGGAAACCCATTACGAAAGCTAATGATGCCCACAGTTCAGCCAAACAGACAGAAAAAGGAAAAGAGAGGATATTGATGTTAAGCAAATGGGAGGAAAAAAAAAAAAAAAAGTGAAGAATGAATGAGAGCAAGATAAGGAGAGAATCAATGAATAAGACTTCATCAGGGCTTCTCACTTCTAAAACTTGAGTTTGTTGTTACATGGGAGTGACTCTTTAGGGAGGATGTAGCCAAAAATCTCCTCATATTCTTTCCAATTGACTATTTTCATATGAAACAAATGAGTATGTTTTGACCGAAAATGAAAATTGTTTTCTTGACTGGCCATTATTTTTAAGAATTTCTAAATCCATTATCATTGGTAAAGTTTAGCAAGACATGGGTATTTTAACATCTACAGAGGCTCACAAACAAACCTATATCATATTACAAATTTAAGATTGAAATGCTTCTTTTTATCCAGGTTGAAGTGGGTGATGAGAATGAAGAGATTTTAACAACCACTCCAATATCTGTAGCTTCAGCAATTCCAGCAGTAGCAGCTGTGACAGCAACAGCTACTCCTGGTCGGTCTTCACCAGCTCTGACTTTATCAGGTATGCAGAAAACTAGAAGATAGTGCCTTTGGACTGTATACAGGTTGAAACTCACTAGTCTAGCTATCATGGGACTAGATGGATGTCAGATATTTTGAACTGGAGAACCATATGGTAAAAAGGGCAAAATAATGTATATACTGTATTCTCTTTTTATATATTATATATATTCTCTTTTTCAGCGAAAGCATTTTTAACTTCTTTGCCATTTTTCAATGTCTATACTTGTCATTTGATTCGCTTTATCCAGTTGGTAATTGACTGTTTTCCTTGTGCAGACTTCATATCATCTCATCTCCTCTCTTGGTAGTTCATAACTCTGTGCAGAAATGATAACAATATTTGTTATTTGCGTGATTTTTTATATTTTTTGTAATATTCAACTTTCTATATTACAACCTACACTGCCTGTCTTCCCTGGAACTGGCACTCTTCCAGTCATAGTTCACAAACAGTATATTTCATATTTGTTTACCAATGGCAATAATACAAAAGCCCCTACCTAAATGCCAAG